TCATTTGAGTAGGTCCATAAATCGACAAAGACCCTCTGGGCATGGTGCACACACCCCATATTTCAGAGCTGGGGCAGGGGCGCGGCTGCCTACTCCACTTGAATATGGCATAGAACTCGTTTTCTTACGCTGTTTTCTTTTTGAGACAACTGTTAACACGTTTTCTGCCGAACAAAAACATGGTTCTTTCAAAATGGCAACGTCCCGCAAAAGCACACCCCTCGCCGCTTCAGAATGAAGTACGCCACCACGCCCTGCCGCCTATCTGTGGGATATGGAGCCCTTCCTTCAAACTATCCGAAATCGAACGAAAGAGATGCGACGGGATCGATTCTAGCCAGCACCCTACTCGGCTTAGCGCATTTACCAGCAAATCCGAGCAATCCTATCAGAGCCTATACTGGAAGGCGTTGTAGGTTTTGGGAGATAAGAACCAGTCTGTGCCTACCTTTGTCCGTCCCATCAAATCCTTTCATTTTACAAGGAAGGGTAAACGGGCCAAGCCAATGGTGGACATTAAACATCGACTTCGGACACTGTGCCGAGTATTCCGGTATTCATTATTCATTCATACGCTTTTCTGAATTTTTACTACATTTTGAAAAGTGACATCTCGATGTTCTTTCTCAAACTATACCATTGTTCGCCTTGAAATGCAGGTAAAAGCAAGTTGAACCATATGGTTGTTCGCAAGCACAAGACCTGGCTTATGACTGGTGGTCATGAGCAAGTGACCAATAGCAAATCTCTTTCGCACACGCCAAGCTTGCACACCGACGGTCCTGACCATAGGGCAGCGCTCAGACTTCGCGACGGCAGCGCCTCGGTCGCGCATTCGGCGCGATCGATGCGCATGCTTCAACTGCATCGATCGCGTCGAATGCGCGACCGAAGCGCTGCGAAGTCTGAACGCTACCTAAGTGATGCTCTGCTGCTCTCTCTTTCCTGGCCTGACAAAGACGGCACTGCCAAATGGAGCTCTCCTCCTGTTGCTTATAGCCCTATAAGCACACCTACAGATCATATGAGCACACCTCTGGAGTGTGTAGCTCTGCTCAGTTCACTCAAGATGCGCCACAAATTTGTTCTCCGTTGGAAAAGAACGGGGTGTTTTTTTTATCATGCGTTTTGGATCCAGAGCAGAGGCTAATCTCCCAGAGCCTTCTTATAGAAAGAACTTGATCTCCTTCGAAAATGCACACCCACGAGACAATGAAAGAACTTCTAAACAGCTATGACTCGAGTTTGGAAGGAGCTTTGGTCTAACAAACTCGCTCTAATTGAGCGAGGTTTGGACTAGGGCACCATATAGGAAGTGATCCCCTGGCCATTGCGCCACATGTATCCTCTTTCTCTTTTTCAAGTTATTTCAATTCACAGTTCTGAAAAAAAACTTGTTTAAGTATGGCAAGAAATCCTACACGATCAAATCGATCTGCTTTTCACCAGATTCGTCAAGGCTGGCCGTTGCCCAATCCGACAACGTTGTTTATGTTTATAAACTTGGCGAAACCTGGTAAGTGTTGAAATCATTGGTCACTTTACAGTTGAAAGGCCAGTTTTCAAAACGTGAACTTCAAACGATCAATTGGTTCATAGCGAGAATGTAGTTCAGTTAATTTCCCATTAATTTCGTGGATTTTTCCATTGACTGCGCTATCTTTGAAGGCAAGTGGCACGATGGTCTCTAAGACGTGTAGGATTAATCGCCCTAGCAGGATAGAATCCGGCTCTCCTGAGCAGGCGCCGCGTGACGCTTTCTATAAGGAAGGTACGCTTATAGCGCCTTACCAAGGCGCTAAATACCGACCCGAAAGCCTACCGCGCCCGCCCACAAATGTCCGACCGATACTCATGCTCGTATCGCTTCATTTGCCAAGTATAATATGAAGCGAAGGGATTGATATGAAGTGGGTGCGATGCTGCATGGTCACATGAGTACATATATGCAGCCGTGTCTACCGTAGCTGGTATTGGCAGTTTGCCAATAGGGGAAACTCGTCCGAAATTGCTCCTTGAGTCGTGTAGAAAAAGTGTTTTGTTTGCCGATTTTAGACCGTTTCACTTCGCTTTTTCGTCATTTTCCCTACATTATAGTCAGGGCACATCGTTTTTGTGGATTGTCCAACAGGAGGGGGTCGTATTTGACGCTGGGGGAGAGGGGTCGTATTTGTTTAAGAAGAAATTTTTTTGGTAGTCAATTTTTCTTGTTTCAGGGACCCTCTAAAGGAGAGGGGGTCATATTTGCTCATAGTTGGGAGGGATAGGGTCGTATCTGGCTTCTGGACTTCTGAGAGAGGTTGTCGACTTTACGTGATTTTTCTTGTTTCATCCATACTATATGCCCCCCCCCCTCCCCTTCTCCCACTACCCCTTCCCCTCCTCACCGCTCAATAGCGAAATTTTTGGGAAATTTCGGAGGGACTGGTAGGAAGTTGGGAAAATCGAAGAAAGTGGCAGGTAGGATGAGAAAGGAGGGGAGCCGTACCAATTCCCCAAAAAGGAGAGGGGTTCATACGAATCCGACTGAAATCCCCCACTAATGGGGTGCCCTGAATATAGCGCCCCTGCTACCATTTCACACCGTGTGCCAAATTATCGTACCTTATGCCCTTAGAGGCAGTAAATTCCGAAGGACCATGAATTGCAAGAGGGAACAAGGAGGGCGTAGTATTTTGGAAAGTACTGACGTTCCACAACCTTTCCGGTTGTAGAGAGTTCAATGAGTAATCAACGGAATTACACAATGAAAGCGTGGGTGCTGGAGCTGCCTGCAGGATAATGATTTTTGGGTTCTGTCAGCTTGAAGAACTATCGCAGACAAATGGGATCCAACATAAAGAATAAATGAGTTAGCCCTCGACCTTTGTGAAAAAACCACGCCCCTCTCTTCGGCCGACAGTCGTGCTCGGCCCCCACATTGCCTCATCCGGTGAAAAAAAAGATGACGAGAGACGATGAACTGGACCAGGCCCAAGGGCATACTGGTAACAACCAGTCGAGTTATTTTCTTACGATGACGCCAGTTCAGTCAAGTGTTGTCTCCAAATTGTTTTGTTCATTATTCGAATTCCAATTGCTTTAGGAATGAGAAGAAAGTGATCGTGAACAAATTACCGCAGAACGCTGCCGCCACAGTCGTTCAATGGCCGTTCGATGATAAGTTATTGATTGGACTTGGTGATGGGAAATTACGAGTTGGAATTCTTAGCAGTAATAAGTGCACCTCATTATACAAGACAGACGAACCTGTTGTCAGTTTGAGTACAAAGTGAGTAGAAAATTGAATTTTCAAAAAAATTGATTGTTCTACTCTCAAAAACATGCTATGACGGGAAATTGTTTATGAAGTATGTACAGAATTCAAGCTACTTGCACGGTTGAAACCCCAAATTTCGTACAGATGCACGAATTTAATATGTTTGCATATGACCGTTTAGAAGCAGAAACGTGGAGAACAATAGTAAGCTTTGGAGCTTGGATAAAGTAAGATCCTTGCTTGGCTTGTTGAAAGAAACTCGATTCCGCCTGAGCAGCATGGCTTTTTGAAGGGTGCGTCCACAGTAACCTAGCTGGCTGACTGCGTTTTCGACTGGACCTTAGCCGCCAACTGTGAAAAATCTGTTGATGTGATATATTTCGATTTACAAAAGCTTTTGATAAAGTAAATCACAGAAAGTTGATCGCAAAACTTCAGCAGCTTGGCATTGAAGGTTCGTTGTTATGTTGGACCCGTCTTATTTGGAAGACAGAAAAATGTGCGTCAAGGTTGGTAAGGCATTCTCTAAGCATTACTCGTGTATAAGTGGCGTCCCTCAGGGAGCGTCTTGTCGCCACTGCTTTTCTTGGTATACACCTGTGATTTGCCTGCAAGGCTAAAAACACATCAGCTGGTCGAAGTGCGTCTTTATGCAGATGATATTAAAGTCTACGGCATCTATGATAACAAGACTCATGCTGATGTGTTTGATGCTCTTTCTAAGTCTATTGCGAATATGATGGAGTGGGCCTCGGCTTGGGATATACCTGTGAACCTTTCTAAAACGACCGTCCTTCATATTGGCAGAATAGAGTACTGGGACTATTCGTTTGGCGATTACATTCTTAGTACCTCACATGAAGTACGAGATCTCGGAGTCCTTTTGAATACTGAGCTTGATTTCGAGCCACATATCAAAGAGGTTGTTCGGAAAGCTTTCTCTTCACTGTTCGCCATTTGCAGAAACTTCAGAGGTAATGACCACTTAATCCTGGTTAAACTTTACAAGGCATATGTCATTCCTATTTTAGAGTACGCTTCCCAAATTTGGAGTCCAAATAGCAGTAAACTTCGCATTGAAATTGAAAAAGTACAACAGGCCTTCACAAGAATACTGTTTCACAGATGCCAGTCTAGTATCGGTTACACTTTTTCTAGCATTCCAAGGATACAATGAAAGACTGAAAAACTTCAATCTAAAGAGTCTCCTTTACAGGCGTGTCTTCAATGACTTAGTTTTCTGCTTCAAGGTTTTGAGAGGTAATCTAAAAATCAAACCAAGTAAGTATTGGGTTTTCAAGCCTTGTCGTGGCCGCACCAATAAATTGTCCCTTCATTATAAGAGTTCTGAAAGGTATTTCCAAGCCAAGACTCTTAACTCCCTCTTTTCCGAGGCGGAAGATGGCTGCAGTTGCTCCCTTACGTTTTGGAAGCAGACAATATATCGGCCTTCAAAAGGAGGCTGAGTAGAACCGATTTATTATCAACTTAGTATTACAGATTTCTAGTTTCT